TGTTCCAGAAGGAAATAACAAAGAAAAATGGAGGTCAAATTGTATGAATGGGCTATTTCAAGGGAATAAATGAGAATTTTTCAGAATTAAAAAAGAGACAAACCTTAGCAAGTCAGTAATATAAAATTCTCTACTAGACACACATAGTGTAGCTCAAGCAACACCAAGTAGAAAGGAAAGGTCCGTAAAAGAACTGTTGCCTTCAAAGGAGTATCAGATTGTCCAGACTTTGCCACAGCAATGATAGAAGCCAGAAGGTAGTGGAATAATATATTCAAAGTCCTAAGGAAAAATAACCATCAACTTACATTATAACTGAACTGTCATTTAAGAATATGGGCAAAAAAATCCCCAAACATTTTCAGACAAATGAAAATGAAGAGTGTTTACCACTTACAGATCTCTGTTGAAAGAATTAATCAAGAATATGCTTTGGGAGAAACTGACCCTAAAAAGAAGCAGTGAAATGTATTGTATTAGGTAGACTTGAACAAATATTTAATTTTGGGATGTTCCCCCAAAATGCATACACACACTTTGAATAATTATAAAGGCAGTGTTTATTAAAATGCATTTCATTTTCAAAATTGAGCTATCAGCTGTTAAAGTGTATATACCTTTTGGGGGGACATCTTGTATATAAAAAAATTAATTAGGAGTAGAAAAACAAGGTGGAATGAAGGCACTGGTCACAACAAGTATGTAAGAAGGGCAGGAGATGAGCAGAGATCAGGCATTCAGGCATTGTGGGGAGAAAGGTGGAAATATTGGTTAACTTTAGACTATTAAATCAACTATGCTTACTAAAAGTTTTGTAAAGGTAATCACTTAAGATGAAAAATTGTATGCATAATTTTCAAACCAGTAGAGAGAACACCATTGAGTATAAAAATTTTGGTCAATATTAACTAAATGCAAGAAAGGACAAAAAGAATCAGGTTAAGTATAAAGCAGGAAACAAAATGACCAAAGAAATTCAAATATAGTAGGAGTCAGAAAAGGGGTAAATTTAAACTCTTAATTAGAAAGACACTGTCAGTTGTATTGGATTAGAAAAATCCAACTACAGCTTTTAAAAAGATGTAGTTAGAATTTAAGGACAAAAACAAAGTTGAATGTAAAAGTATAGAAAATAACTAGCCCCAATAAAAAGGTGTGGTTATAATCAGAGTGGATAAGGTTGTCTTTGAAGAAAAAAAAGAGAAGGGAATATTAAGGGAAAAAAGGTCACCAAATAAAGACCAAAAGTAGCAATTCACTGGGATCAGTGAAGATAATTATAACTTGAAGGCACCAAAAACATAGCATCAAGTTATACAAGGCAAAAAGTTGATAATATTTCAAAGGTAAATAGACAATTACATAGTCATAGGGGGATTTTAACACATCTCTTTCAGTAATTGATAGTTTGAAATGATCCAAAGTTAGTAAAGCTATAGACCTGAATGGCACGATGTGCAAGCTTGATCAAAGAGACCCATGTGGAGAATGCACATTCTTTCCAAGAACATGACACATTTACCAAAAGATCACATATTAGGCCACAGAGCATTTCTTCAATAGCAACGAATTATACAGACCACATTTTTGAGAACAGTCAATTGCTAGACAACAGAAGTAATAATGAAAACTAAACCAGATATGTGGATTTTTTAAGGGAAAAGCCCTCTAAATAATTTATGACTGTAAAAGTGTCTTAATGGAAGGCCTAAGAATAAATTGTTAACATTAATAAGAAAGGTCAGTGAGATTAGATTGCTGGCTATACAAAAGTAAATTTTTATTTACCAGCAATGAGCAACTAGAAAAATATAGTTTGGAAAATATACAGTATATGTGAAAATAGCAATAAAAATATAAAGGTACTAGGAATAAATCTACCAAAAGATGTCGAAAATGTTTTTTTGTGTGTGAAATTTTAAAATTTCTTGAAGGTCTAAGTAAATGGAAAGATACCCAATATTGATGGATTTGTGGAATCAATTTCCAAAATGTTAAATTTCTGCAATTTACACATTGAAAGTGTTCCTAATAAAATTTAAATGAGGTTTTTGAGATTCACAAAAATGTATGAGGTTCAAATATATATAAGGTAGAGAAAAGAACCAAGAATGCCAGGACAATTTTGAAGAGGAAGATCAACCTATGAGGGCTCACTCACTCCACCGATGCAAGACTTAATTATAGCTCAATTAAGTAATAATAAAGTGTGATATTAGCTCAGGGAGAGACAAAATAGAGTCTAGAAATAGGCCACATACACATGGAAATTTGTATATAGCAGAGATGCTATTTCAGATCAATGGGGAAGTAAGAACTTTAAACAAACAGCATTGGGACAATTGGTTATTCATATGGAAGAAATAAGTTCAAGTCCCTACATCAAACCATATTTAAATGGATTAGACTTAACATACGACAAAGCAGGACTTTGAAGTTTTGGACAAAAATTAAGCAGGATGTTTTTATGTTCTCAGGGTAGGAAAATGTTTCTTAAACACAACACCAGGAGCACAAACCATAAATAAAAACGATCAATAAATTTGACTACATCACAATATTAAAAAATCCCTTTGTACATTAAAGATATCATAAACAAAGGGAAAAATACAAACCTTAGATGTGGAGAAGATATTTGCCATGCACACAATCAAGAGAGGATTTGGCCCAGAATTTATAAACAGCTCCAAAGGAAAAGGCCAAATGGTATGAATGGGCAATCCTCAAAAGGACACCAATGGCCTCAAAACATGAGAAATAACATGTTCCTCTCTCCTGGTAGTCAACGTCATATAAATTAAACAAAGAGGAACTGAAATTTCACACTCATCATATTGGGAAAAAAAATCTGACGATGCCAAACCCTGCTGAGGGGAGTGTCAATAGACATGAGTTTGGAAGACAGGATGGTAGTATCTAATAATGCACCCAGATTGCTAGGCCAGCAGAGTTTGAACATCCCCAGCTTCATAAACAATAAAAAATCAGAAGAAAGCTTAAATGCCCAGGTATGGGATCTAGCAAGGAACGGTGGTTTTATTAAATATACTAGAGGCCTGGTGCATGGGACTTGTGCACTGGTGGGATGTGTGGCCTGTGGGGATTGGCCTGCTGTGGGAGCACCACTCATCCCGGTCAGCTGAGCAGCTGTGGACCCGCCCTCTGAGCGGCTGCTCCCACTGTGGGAGCGCACTGACCACCAGGGGGCAGCTCCTGTGTTGAGCATCTGCCCCCTGGTGGTCAGTGTGCATCATTGCAACTGGTCGACCAGTCGTTCTGGTCATTCCACCATTCGGTCGCTGGGCTTTTATATATATAGATTGCATTCAAATGCATTTGATTCTTTTATTTTCTATACTTATTTTTGTATGCCTGAAAGTATCCTAATTTAAAACATTAGCCTTGTAAGGATTATGGAGAAAAGACTTAACACATAGCTGGTGTGACTGTCAATAGGTATAACTATTTTCAAGGGTAAGTTAAAACTTTACTGTGGTGTCATTCTTTTTAACCACTTGAATGGACAAAGGTGGAAGTTTAGTAACAATTTGTGTTGGCAAGAGTGTTAGGAAACAGACACTCTCATACACAGCAGGTGGGAATTATAGGGTGTCACAAAAAATATATACACACACTTTGAATCATTATAAGTATTTATTAAAATACATTTCATTTTCAAAATTGAGCTGTCAGCAGTTAAAGTGTTTATACATTTTTGGGGGACACTCTGTAGTTGGAGCACACCTCAGTGGAGGTAATTCTGGCATTGTTTAACAAAATTGTAAAGTTCCTTTGACCTAGCATAATTTCCTCTAAGACTCAGGGGTGGGGAACTTCCAGTCCTGGCTCATGAAATCTTTTGGTCTGGCCCTGCCAAGGCATTAGGGGTGAGTTAAATGTTTGACCAAATATAGCAGGCTAATTTTTAACTTGATACTTTTGTATGGCCCTCAAATGATGTTGTAAGTATCCACATGGCCCTTGGCGGAAAGACAGTTCCCACCCCTGGTAGGTACTTATTGAGAAAATAGCCACTATTACAGCCAAGGTTTATCTACACAAAAGTTCATGTTAGTAACCACAGCATTGTCTGTAATGTTGATAATTAAAGAAGCAACCTAACACTATCTAGACTAGTAACACTAGATTAATAATGTCTAACACCAATCAGTTCTAATTTATGGTACAACTGTAGGATGGAATATTATGGAGCCACCAAAATGGTACTGTCTAATGAAACTTTAATGATGTAGAAACACTTGACAAATATTAAGCTAAAATCAAGTAAAATAGTAGGTAGAGTAGACCATTAAAAATATATTTTATTCATTGAAGCAAAGACACCAAATGTTAGCAATAGTTACTTCTGGATAGATTATAGGTGATTTCTAACTTCGTCTAGATTTTTTTGGGGGGGGTTTCCCCAAAATTATCTGCATAATTTTTATTTTAATAGGAGTCTCCTTTATTGGAACAATTTAAACAGGCTGAATGATACCGACGGATAACCCTCACCAGAAGGCATGGCCAGGGCTACAGTCTTGCTGCGTTCCTTGGAAGTCTGAGTTTTTGAATCTCACAGAATCTGGACTGAGGACCTGGTTCACCAGTGACGTCGCCGCGGACAGTCAGGGCGCCTGGGGAGCGGCTGGACCTCTCTCAATCTGGTTTCACCTTCGTAAAAAGAACATAACCGCCTGGACTGGCCCCGCTCCAGGCTTTGCTGTGCGGGTCAGCGGCTGGTGTCACGCCTGCGAGCGCGGTTTGCAAAGCCAAAGCCCGGGGCGTTCCGCGGGGATAGTTGTCACTGCGGCCCTGGGGAAGCAGCAGCAGCAGCG